AGTTCTTCAGTCTTCCTTATTCATTGTCCAGTTTTCACATGCCTAAGAGGCTATTGAAAAGACCATGGCTTGGGTCAGCTACAGCTCTGTCTTCAAAGTGACATCATTGCTCTTTAACACTTTAGAGAGATCTTTTACAGCAGATTTACCCAATGCAACACGTCATTTGATTTCTTGCCTGCTGCTTCCATGGGTGTTGATTGTGGATCCAAGTAAAATGAAATCCTTGACAACTTCAGTCTTTTCTCTATTTATCATGGATGATGCTATTGATCTAGTTGTGAGGATTTTTGTTTTCTTTATGTTTGAGGTATAATCTATGCTGAAGGCTGGAGTCTTCATCCTTGCTTCATGTTGTCTTCACTTTCAGCAAGCAAGGTTGTGTGATCTCTGTATCACAGATTGTTAATGAGTCTTCTTTCAATCGTGATTCCATGTTCTGCTTCATAGAGTCCACCTTCTCAGATTATATGCTCAGCATACAAACTGAATAAGTACTATGCAAGGATACAGCCCTGACACACACCTTCCCTGATTGTAAACCATCCCCTTGTTCTGTTTGAATGACTGCTCTTGGTCTATGTACAGGGTCCTCATGAGCACAATTAAGTTTATGGATTTCCCATTCCTGGCAATGTTATCCATAATTTGTTACGATCCACACAGTCTAACACTTTTGCATAGTCAATAAAACAAAGGTAAACATCTTTCTGGTATTCTTCACTTTCAGCCAGGATCCATCTGACATCATCATTGATCTCCCTCATTCCACATTCTTTTCTGAATTCAGCTTGAATTTCTGGTAGTTCCCTGTTGATGTACTGCTACAAGCATTTTTTAATTATTTTCAGCATAATTTTACTTGCATGTGATATTTATGATATTGTTTGATCATTTCCACATTGTGTTGAATCACCTCTTTTTGGAACAGGCAAAAATAGGAATCTCATCCAGTTGGTTGGCCAGGTAGCTGTCTTCTGAATTTCTAAGCATAAATAAATGAGCACTTCCAGCATTACATCCATTTGTTGAAACGTTCAATGGGTATTCCATCAATTCCTGGAGCCTTGTTTTTCACCAGTTCCTTCAGTGCAGCTTCTATTTCTTCCTTCAGTACCATCAGTTCTTGTTCATATGCTATCTCCTAAAATGGTTGAACATCGACTAATTCTTTTTGATATGATGACTCTGTGTATTCCTTCTATCTTCTTTTGATGTTTCCTGCATCATTAAGTATTTTGCCCATGGAATCTCTCAATATTGCAACTCAAGGCTTGAAATTTTTCTTCATTTCTTTCAACTTGAGAAATGCCTAGCATGTTCTTCCCTTTTGATTTACTAACTCCAGGTCTTTGCACGTTTCATTATAATACTTGACTAATCAAATCAACTATATCTATGGAAAGAGATGATGGAGAAGCTCAATATCATCAGTCAGTACAAGGTCAGGGACCAACTATGGAATAGACCATCAATTGCTTGTATGCAAGTTTAAGCTGAAGCTTAAGTAAGTTAAAACAAGTCTACAAGAGCCAAAATACAACCTTGAGTATATCCCATGTGAATTTAGAGAATCATCTGAAGAACAGATTTGCCTCATTGAACACCAGTGACCAAAGTCCAGACAAGATGTGTGATGACATCAGGAACATCATGCATCAAGAAAGCAAAAGGTCATTAAAAAACAGGAAAGAAAGAGACCAAAATGGAAGTCAGAAGACACTCTGAAACTTGTTCTTGAATGTAGCTAAAGCAAATGAAGAAATGATAGAGTAAAAGAATCTGAACAGCACTTAATTCCCTTGTTGTTGTTGTTATGTGCTGTTGAGTCAGACCTGACTCATAGCAACACCTCCTTGCATTTCTGAGGTGGTATCACTATGGAATTAGATTACCCAACTTTCCTTCCGAGGAGTGGCTGGTGGGTTTGAACTGCTAGCCTTCTGGTTAGCAGTCAAATGCCTTAGGCACTATGCTACCAAAGCTCCTTTAATTCCCTTCAGAGTAAGATATTTTCTATAGTATAACTTTATCACTTGAAAAATGATCAGAAAGTACTCATAATGTGAGGAGTCATTAATTAATATTGATAGGTCATGGTATATGCTTTGAATAAAAACCCAAGCAGAGTTCCTTTTCATGGACCTTGAAGGGTAGAGGAGGCAGCATTACAACTGTCCTACTATGGTTCATCTTACTTTGCAGGTATTTAGATCAGTGGCCCAAGGAGATCAAAGAGCCTGAGCACTGTGAGCTGACTTAGAACAAACACAGACTCGTCAACACCATGTATGTTAAAGTCTCCTGTGGAATCAACTCTATGGCATACAACAACCACCACCACCACCACACTTGGCTTGTCAGCTGCCTTCACATCCCAATACCACTTCCAGCTTCCGTAGCTATAGCTCAGTACTGCATGTTGCAGGGGAGCATATCACCGAGCTGTTTGTGAGGTCCAGGAGTTGCAAGAAGCCATCCAGGACAGAGCCTCTTGGGCACAGCAGGCCTCTGGGTTCATGAAGCCCATATGAATATGAGCTCCTTCTGTTGTCACTAATCTGCTCTTAACAGACTGCAGCAACCTGCTACTGCACTTTGTCCTCTTCCTTGTCACATTGAAAGAGACTGTTTCCAACACACAGGACACTCTTCAGTTCTGGGAGCTTCCAATGCTGTTTCAATTCAGAAACCTCAGGAAGGTTTTCAGTGAAGGTGACTCTGTAGTACAGGTAACGGGATACTAATCCATCAGTAATAGCTGGATATGTCATCTTCTAAATGCATAAAATGATTGCTTCATGGAACCAGGCTTACGATGATGGGAATCACAACTACTCAATGGCAGAAATCCTACTAGACGCATAAACATAGCTACATAAATCCCATCAGTTCAGGAAAGTGTCACCACTCAGTTTATCGGTAGGGTAAGTTTACTGTTGTAATAACTCATTTCCAAATCTCAGCAGCTTAACACAGTTAAGATTTATTTATTCTTCGTGTCACAGTCCAATGCATATGGTGAGAAGAAGCAGGTCTCTGCTCCACACAGTCCTCTAGGGACTCAGGCTTCCTTGCAGGGCAGGGGTTCTTCACCTAGGGAAGTATAACTTTATCGTCACTAGATTTTTAACTGTTAATTTAGTATTTCCTTCAATTATAATTCAGAGCATCAAACCACAATAGTATTAGCACTCTGTTACAACTAAAAATAGATATTTTTGTATCATGTTACAGTTGTAACAGCTGTCATAAATTACGACAGCTTAATATTACTTTGCAATAACAGTAGTATTTAATGTTAATAAAAAGTACATATATTACTATGTCACAAAACATTTTTGATATTTTGATAACTGCATTTTTATGTATTTTTATGATCCTATGTGTTTTGTTTTGTAAATTAAAGAACATTTTTTCTGAGAAGGGATGCATAGATTTCACCAGACTGCAGAAAAGGTCCATGGCAAATAAAGGAACCCCTGAATGGTCCTGCCATCCTCTAAGGCCTTCAGGCTCCTCTGCTTCCAGTCAGCAGAGCACATTGCTGGGGAGGGGAGGAGGCAGCAGTATTTTAGGGGTGAAGCTTAGGAGGAGTGTGCAGCACTCTGTCTACATTCATGGGCCCTAATTCAGTCACATGGCGCCTCTTGACTGCACAGGATCTGGGAAATAAAGTCCAGTTATGTACTGAAGAGGAGAAGGAGTTTGGTGAATACATGTAGTATCTGTCACTGTGCCCAAGGAAACAACCAGCAGAGACGGCATCCCAATGACAAGGGCCTTCCCTGGAGAACACTCATTCCCATGTAAAATTTAACTCCAGGAAACGTAATCACCATCACACTATGATAGCCACCACTGACTGACTGCTTACTCCTGTCAGTATTCTGCTAAATGGTTCACTTCCATGATCTCATTCCCTCCTTATAATAACCTTATGACACAGGTACTATTATTATTCTTATTTCATAGATAAGGGACTGATCCCCCTAGAAAGAAATCTAAAATCAGTGCTCTTGATCACTGTGCTGAGCCGTTTTGGAAAGTAGTGAGACTTTTTTTGAAGAAGGCAGAATTGTGTACTGTGCATATGATTCCTGGATTCATATCCTAGCTTTGCCACTAACTGGTTCTTTGACTGCGCACGACTTAGTGAAGCTCTCTCTGCATTTCCAAATGGGGATTATCATAGTATCTAAAGGATTAAATGAGATAAACACTTAGGACAACATCTGGCACATAGTAAGTTCTCAATGAATGTTCGCCACTATTATTCAAGGCTGAATTACACTGTGGCCACCTCAGTAAATGTGAACTGAAACATTCCAGCAGAGCTCAGTTCTCATGAAAGATGTGGGAAAATGGCTGAGGTCACTAGGATGCCAGCTGGAAGATTTCCTAGAATGGTGGCTGAGTTACAGTAAAAAGGATACACAAAGCTGTTACTTTTCAAATTAATTTTATACATATAGATATTTATAAATTTTATATGTGTGTGTGTGTGTGTGTGTAGATAGACAGACTGCCCAATCTTCCTTCCAAGGTATGGCTGGTGGGTTTGAACTGCCAGCTTTCTGGTTAGCAGTCAGATGTCTTGGGCACTACACCACCAGAGCTCATCCATACACACACACACACACACATATATATATATAATTAATATATAATACTTATGGAGCTCTGGTGGCATAGTGGGTAAGGCATTTGGCTGTTAACCAGAAGGCCAGCAGTTCAAACCACCAGGTACTTTGTGGAAGAAAGATGAGGCAGTCTGCTTCCATAAAGATTTACAGCCTTGGAAACCCAATGTGTGTTACTACGAGTCAGAATCAACTCGATGGTAGTGAGTTGTATATATATGTATGTATGTATGTATGTATGTGTGTGTGTGTATATATATATATATATATATATATATATATATATATATATGTTTGGAGAACATAAATAAAGTGAGTTAGTTTTCATCTTAATACAACTCTCTGTCTCATTTGTAGAACTCCATGAAGGTGATGTTCAAATGCCTCTGGAAAAACTGTGGGAAAGTGCTGAGCACTGCGGCAGGCATCCAGAAACACATCCGGACCATTCATCTTGGGTAAGGCAGCCCCCACTTCCAAGCTCGCCTTTTGGTGTTGTGTCCATCACTTCTGTCTACGGCCACCTGCACCCAAAAATTACACATCACATTGTGCCTCAAAAGTTCTGAATACGGAAAAAGACAATAGAACTTGGTTTCCCTAATAAGTATTTAGAGATGACCCCTGTAGGTAACATAGGCCACTAAGGCACAGTAGAAAGAATTTAAAGTTGTAAAGTCTCACTAAATGACTTACTAAGTGATATCAGGCAAGTCACTGCTCTGAATCTCAGTTCTCTCAGAAACGATATTAATACACCCTGCAGGGTCATTTGTGAAGATCAAAGAAATAATGTGAGAGTAACTTGTGAATTATAATATGCTAGGATGTTGTGTTGTTGTTGTTGTTATGTGTTGAGTTGGATCCGACTCATAGTGACCCTTCCTTGGGTTTCCGAAGCAGTATCACTACGGAAGTAGATTACCCCATCTTCCTTCCGAGGAGTGGCTGATGGGTTTGAGCCGCCAGCCTTCTGGTTAGCAGTCAAGTGCCTTAGGCACTATGCTACCAGAGCTCCCAATATGGTAGGATAGGAGTTTTTAACCTGCGATCCATGGTTGAACTTCAAGGTATCCTTGAACCTCCTGAAATTATCTATAAAATTACATGTGCATTTTGTCCCAATGATGAATATTCCTGAGGGTCAAAGGCATGTATAACTTTAAAGGGTTAAAAATCACTGCATTAATCAGTGCTTCTGTTGCTATTCTTTATATGTCTGATAATCTAGCTGGATCTCTTTGTTGATTAAAAAGGCTCTCGATTTGTACGATCTGTACTTTTCCTTGTATTATGTAGCAGTTAATTCTTCAACCACAATAAGTACAATTGAGAACCTTTATAGAAATCCTTTCTTAGGAAAATAAAATGAAGCTTTGGGAGACACACCAGTGGGCAGTGGTGGTTCAGGAGTCTTGTCCTTTAGTCGCTGGGTCATTTGCCCTATGAACTGTAACTTAGAAGAGACCTTAAGAAGCTGTAAATCATAGCCAGTGTGCACAAAGCAAACACAAATGCATGGCCAAGCCCCCTAGATCGTTGAGCACAGAGAAGTCCTTTCAACAAGGTGCGTTTTAAGAAATAAAAGCAATACAGATATCCCCCGCTTTTCGAAAGTTCACTTTATGTCACTTGACTTTCACAAAAGATCTACATTAATGCCTTTTTCACTAACTGAAAGAAATCTGAAGATGATTTTCATTTATGAAAAAGGTGAAAAGCAAAACTGGCTTTCAGCATTTGTTTGACAGCAAACCATTTAAAAGGCAGCACAGGGGTGTGTGTCTGGGTAATTCATGTGGAGGTCAGAGTAAAAAGAGGTGAGAGTGGGCTCAAAGGCAAGACCCAGCAGAGGAATGGCTGCCAAGGAGTTTAAGTCCATCGACAAGTTCAGCCTGGCTTTAGCCATCACAGGAGGCATGGTGAACTCTGCCTTGTATAATGTGGATGCAGGACACAGAGCTGTCATCTTTGACTGGTTCCATGTAGTCCAGGACATTGTGGTAGGGGAAACGACTCACTTTCTCATCCCTTGGGTACAAAAACCAATTATCTTTGACTGCTGCTCTCGACCACGTAATGTGCCTGTAATCACCAGTAGCAAAGATTTACAGAATGTCAATATCACACTGCACATCCTCTTCCATCCAGTTGCTAGCCAGCTGCCATACATCTACACCAGCAACAGAGAGGATTACAATGAGCGTGTGTTGCCGTCCATCATGACAGAGATCCTCAGGTCAGTGGTGGCTCACTTTGATGCTGGAGAACTAATCACCCAGAGAGAGCTGGTCTCCAGACAGGTGAGCGATGACCTCACAGAGCAAGCAGCCACCTCTGGGCTCATTCTGGATGACACATCTGATCTTTGGGGAGAAGCCAAACAGGTGGCTCAGCAGGAAGCAGAGAGGGCCAGATTTGTGGTGGAAAAGGCTGATAAGGCAGCCATCATCTCTGTCAAGGGTGACTCCAAGGCAGCCAAGCTGACCGCCAACTTACTCGCCACCACAGGTGACAGCCTGATTGATCTGGGCAAGCTGGAAGCTACTGAGGATGTTGCATATTGGCTCTTTCACTCTTGGAACATCACCTACCTGCCGCATGGGCAGTCAGTGCTCCTCCACCTACCCCAGTGAGGCTGCCCTGCCCACACCTGCTAGGGCAAACTTGGCCACAGCCCTGTTGATTCCTGACACAACCTTTCTTCTGCCCCTTACCCCAGAAATCACTGTGAAATTTCATGATTGGCTTAAATAGTGAAGAAAATAAAAATCACTTTAGATCCCTAATTGCTCTACTAGATGAAGCACCTTCATTCTTTTCCTTAACCATCCACTTTGTTTCCACCCTCCTTAAACCCACTACCAAAAATTGCCAAGTACCTGCACAGACTGGCTTTGAGGCCCCTGTTTGGCATCTGCAGACACTACTTGAGCCGGAGCACTGGCAATTGGCAGAAGGCAGAGCATTGTATGTGATTGACCAGCAGCAAAGTTGTTGATTGAGTAAACTTGTAGCTTCAAGCTATTATTTAGAGAAGATTTGAGGAGGATGGCACACACAGCTGAACTGAGAAGGCAGGCCTGTGTTCCAGCGGTTGCTGCACAGACCACACCAGCTGAAGAGGTGCCGGGGAGGGTCAGAGAGGAAGTAGCCTGTCTCTTACCATAAGGTTGATTGTCTTTAACCGTGGGGCCTGCAGAAGCAGGTGTGTGCAGACAGGGCACGGATTGAAGGAACTGCCCCCATTGAGGTGGGTGGGCCTGATTTTCTTGCACCCAAGAGTCCTAAAGCTGGGATGGACTTGGGTAGGTGAGAGAGAAGGCCTGGACTGAGATGTGAGACCTGTGGAAGGCTTCCACTCCACCTCCTGCCTTGATCCCCCTCAAACACTCAATGGAATTCCAGCTTGAAGGATTGCATCCTGCTGGGGCCCAACGTACCTGCCAAAGACGTGTGTGTCCTGAGTTCCAGGCTCCCTCAGTCAAGACTGCCCTTCTAGAGGACTCTTTGCCTGCACTTTGATGGAAACAGACACGGAAAAAAACAAACATGTGCAAACCGTCAATAAATGACACCCAGACCTTCCAGCAAAAAAAAAAGGCAGCGCATACCCCACCAAGCTCCTTCCCCAGGAACTACACCCAGTATCTTAGTATCAAGCTGCCATAGCTTTGAACAGTCTGTGAACACTGTATTTAGTATTATTTTAGATTTTATGTGGTATTTGGTTTAATTTGATGGGGTCGGGGGGGGGGGGTCTGGGAGTGCTCAAATGTTTTTCCCACATAAATAAACAAACATGTGCAAACCGTCAATAAATGACACCCAGACCTTCCAGCAAAAAAAAAAGGCAGCGCATACCCCACCAAGCTCCTTCCCCAGGAACTACACCCAGTATCTTAGTATCAAGCTGCCACAGCTTTGAACAGTCTGTGAACACTGTATTTAGTATTATTTTAGATTTTATGTGGTATTTGGTTTAATTTGATGGGGTCGGGGGGGGGTGGTCTGGGAGTGCTCAAATGTTTTTCCCACATAAATAAATGGTCATTGCTTCTTCACTTTATGCCATTTTGGGTTACAAAAGGTTTCATAGGAATGCTTTACTTTTGGAAAGTGAAGGAAACCTGTAGTCACTTTGTCCAGCAAGAGATAAATTCAGGGAGTGCATCATCCACAAAAAGTGGTATAGGTAGAAAATAGAAATGGGTTCTAAGGTAACTTTGCTGGTCTTGTGGTCAGCTCCAACAATGACTGTGGGGAGAAGCAGGGACTAACTCCCTGCCTTAAGGCTGATGTTTGGGGGGACAGCCAGACCCTTCAGGTCAAAAAGTGCTATGCATGCTGTGAGTGTGGCCAAATACTCCTAGACTTCTGCTTCCTAGTCATAGGATCCATTCTCCAGGTTCTAAGAAAAGCCACACTGAAACTCTGCAGGGCAGAATGCCCACATTCTGTTCCTAAAGTCTCAGGGACAGGCCTGCCGTGTCTCTCCTCCATTCTCATCTCAGGACACCTCACAGTGTAAATAGCTCAGAGTTATTTAGGATTTAGAAACAACTTCCCAAAGCTTTAGCCATGAGGTAGGGTGTTTATTTTAAAGTCTGCCTGCCCAGAAAATTGAATCCTATTCAGCACCATGTGGAAGCACATGCCATATATGTTTTTACAGACTGTAAGTGAATACATGAATTTCCTTTGAATTCCCAGCATGTTTGCTCCATGATGGGTGAAATTCAGAATGCAGCCACTTTACTTGTTTCCCTTATTGTTCTTAGGTGCCATCGAGTCAGTTCCAACTCGTAGTGACCCTGTGTACAAAAGAAAGAAACACTGCCAATCCTGCCCCCTCTTCACAATTGTTGCGATGTTTGAGCCCATTGTTGTAGTCCCTGTGTTAATGCATCTTGTTGAGGATCTTCCTGTTTTCCTTTTTTCCACTGACCCTCTTCCAAGCATGATGTCCTTTCTCCAGGATGGGTCCCTCCTGATAACATGACAAAAGTATGTGAGATGAAGTCTCTCTCTTTTTTTTTTTCTCACCTTGAAAACTCCATTTTCATTTGGATTAAAAAGCTTAGATAAACAAACATATGACACATAACATGTTGTAGGACTAGTTACCACTCAGACCTTTTTTGATACAGAAATTAGAATAAACCAAGTTTTAATCAAGTCTGAAAATGTTCAAGCTGAAAAGTCAACGCCAATTTGGAGATTTTATACAAATAAATGCTGTTGTTGTTGTTATGTGCCGTGGAGTTTGGACCCGACTCATAGCGACCTCTCCTTGGGTTTCCAAGGCAGTATCGCTACGGAAGTGTATTGCCCCATTTTCCTTCCAAGGAGTGGCTAGTGAGTTTGAACCACAAGCCTTCTGGTTAGCAGTCAAGTGCCTTAGGCACTTCGCTACCTGCTATCCCCCTCAATTCTTCCTCATAGGAAGTGAAGGGTAGGTTAAGGAAAAAAGAAAAATAAAGAAGTCCTTTTAAATCAGGTGGCTGACAAACATACCATTTAAACCTAAAGATTTTTCCCCACATAAACAAAAGACTTCTCCACATGAACGTACATTTTGGAAACATTTCATTGCCATTCTCCCTTCGAAGACGCATTCTAGCTGTCCTTCTTCCAAGATGAATTTTTTTGTTCTTATGGTAGTCCATAGTATATTAAATATTCTTTGCTAGCACCATAATTAAAAGGCATCAATTCTTCTTTAGTCTTCCTTATTCACTGTCCAGCTTTCACATGTACATAAGGCTACTGAAACACCATGGCTTGGGTCAGGTGCACTTTAGTCTTCAAGGTGACATCTTTGCTTTTTAACACTTAAAGAGGTCTTTTACAGCAGATTGACCCAGTGTGTTCCCTAGTATCTTCTTCTTACTGATGTGCTTTTAAAACTTGCCGTGGAGCATATTAATTCATAGCCCTGGTAGCCATTCACAGGCACGGGTCTCCAAGTTAAGCAGGACTCCAAGACAGATCTGCAGACATGCACCCCAGAACCTGAGCTCTTGCATGGACTGGGAGAGAATAGCCTTTGCATTAATCCATGGGCTGGTTTAAAAGCCTATATGACAATGGAACATTTTTAATGGATGTTGGCTGTGTGTGAGGTTGGCTGGGGAACATATCAAAGCCCAAAGAAAATAGTTCTTGCACCTGATTTAGCTGCAGCATATACCATGCCAGTATAAAAAGTACTGTTTGTCTCTCCCACCATTCTTATACAACAGGGGCCAATCCTGGTTTATCCCCAACTAGGACACATAAGACGCATAATTTCCCCCAGGGCTGTGTGTCTATTAGTAGCACTCGGCAGCCAGTTGCAACTCGGCCTGCCTTTTACTGGAAAGGAAGTGGGGACAGGAATAGAACATTCTTCGTCCCACTCTCTGGGGTCTTTAATGGTATGCCTGTCAGAAAGCCAAGCCAGCCAGACCTGATCCGGGACAAAGACACCTCCCCAGATGCCTCCTCCTGAGAGCTCAGGGGAAACGGAGCTAGGCATAGAAAAGTCACTGATTTGACCAAACAGAAAAGGCGTAGTGAAAGGGGATTTATATTGTAGGATCTATGTAGGGATCATAAGTGGGAAAAGAACATTTTTATTTTTTCTGACACAGTGTTCTGCAGCTGCTGGATGGATCTGTGATAGTCAGGGGACACCCCCTGCAAGGAACTGTACAGGGGCTTCTGCTCAGCCATCCCCTCCAGCCGGGTTACTTCATATGCAGCAAAGAATTCAACATGTTTTAAGTCACTTTTATTCAAAAATTTCTGTGGATTTTTTAGTTCCATATTCCAGATTGAAAAGCACTGTATCTATCCCATCTCAAGCAGAAGAACTTTGAAAGCACCAGAGCAGCTTTACAGGACAATAAAATCTTACAGAACTGAGGGTTTCTAATATAGACTTGTTTTTATTTTAAATGATATGATGCTTGCTATGCATCAGGTATCCTTATAAATGTTACTTCACTGAATCCTCATAATAAGCAACTATAATCATCCCCATTCTATAAATGAAGAAACTGAGGCACAGGAACTACATGTAAGTTGCTAAAATCACACACACAGTTAGAAAGTGACTGAGTCAAGATTTGAATGCAGGAAGTCTGACTTCAGATACTATGCACTTTACCACTGGGTTACAATGACCTCATCTTCATTTGTTTGTTCATTCAACAATGCAAGCAGTACCAACTCTATGTCAAATACCCCGGTACGCATGAAGCACAGCACAAAGGTGAACAAGACATAGTCCTAGGGAATCACAGTCTTAGTGAAGTAATAAAGAGGTGAGAAATAATTACAGAAATGTGGCAGGTAGTTAAGTGAAGGGAACACAGGACCTAACTCTTAGGTCCTAACTAGACAGTAGCCAAGGTGATCCTTTTTATGAAGTAAATTAGGTCACTCAAGACCCTCCAGTGGCTTCTACCACATTCAGAATAAAATGACATTATTATCATGGTCTCAAAGCCTTACACGATCTTGCCTCTGCGCCCACGCCTTCTCCCCTGACTCTTTCCCTCATGCCATGAGCTCCAGCCTCTGACCTCTCTGCCCTTTGTGTTAAGCACCAGGCCCACCCATCTCGGGGCTTTGTGCTGCTCCTCCCTGGTGCTTTCTTCCCGTAGGTTTCTGGCCAGCCCTCTCCCTCTCTTCACTCAGGTCTCTGCTCAAGCCTCACCTCCCCAGTGAACTGCCTCTGATAACACACCCCGTCCCCATCGTTAACTTTGCTTATGGATACTTTAGCACTGCTTATTTTTTCACTGTGGGACTTACCACCATACGACCTGATGTGTTGAATGTCTGTTTTACAGAGAACCATAAAAGGTTTCTTGTCCATCTCCCTCACAAACTAAGTTCTGTCAAGGGAGAGACTATACATGTATTTTCACTGTTAAATTAAGAGACACTAGAACAGTCCCTGGACATAGTAGATTCTCAGTCAGTTGTTGACTGAATGAATGAGTGAATTGCTCTAAAATATCAAGGAAGGTTTCCCTGGATGTTGGCAGTTGAGTTGATGGTTGCAGGATGAGTTGGCCAGCAGATGGGAGAAGGGAAAGCGGTCCGGACAGAACAGAATTTGTAGACATTTTGAGGGAAGAAGACAGATAGGCTTAGTATGTTGCTTTGCTCTCTCTTCTGTATTAGGCGTGTTGGGGACTCTGACTACAGTGATGGAGAAGAAGACTTCTACTACACAGAGATCAAGCTCAACACCGAGTCAGTGGCAGATGGCCTGGGCAGCCCTGCCCCAGTGTCTCCCTCCCAGTCCTTGGCCTCGCCTCCTACTTTCCCCATCCCTGAGTCAAGCCGAACGGAAACTCCTTGTGCCAAAACTGAGACTAAACTGATGACGCCCTTGAGCCGCTCTGCTCCCACCACCCTCTACCTCGTGCACACCGACCATGCTTACCAGGTGACTTGCAAGGGACTCCGAGTAATCACCTTCACCCCTGACCAAAAGCAGTCATATCTGACTTGTGTGAATAGAGGGTAATTTGGTGGGAAATCAGCCTGGTCACTGCCACCAGCCAGTAGCTGAGTCCAGTTTTTCTTTTTCTCCACTTATTCCAAGATTTCACACAGACTCCTCAGTGCTGACCGAAGGTCTGATCCTTTAGAGGTTGCTTTGAGGATGGAAATTCTTCTATTGTAAAGCCCTCAGAATGGTGCCTGGCACATTTTATAAGTGTCTGTTCGATAAAAAGTAAGTTAAAATGGGAGCACTGGAAAACTTGGACACAATGACAGAGTCATCCTGCACCCTAAATCAGGGGGACTTGCATTCTAAATGGAATTCGAGTGGTAGATTTTGAAGTATGTTATCAGGCATCAGTATTACCTGTGAATACGTTGTTTTGTAGTGACTCATATGACAGCGAAGAACTGCCTTATAGGGTTTCCTAGGATATATAGTCTTTACAGAAGCAGGTCTTTTTTCCCACAGAGCAACTGCTGGGTTCAATCCACAGACCTTCCAGTTAGCAGCAAGCAAATGTTAGAAATGTAAGTTCTCAGGCCCCCAGACCTTCTAGATCCCTGCCTCAGTGGCAGGTCCCACACTTTGTTGTAACAGGCCCTCCAGAAGATTCAGCAGCGTTCAAATCTGAGAACTGCTGACAAGAGATTAGAGAGGAACCCTGCATATGTAGGGTATGGTTAAAGCTCTTTTTTCCTAGCAATTATTAACTCTTTTAAATGGTAATTTGTTTTAATAAACTTTCAAACACATTGTATTGTAATTTTAAGAAAACATTTTACCCATAATTCACAACCACCTTATGCACTCTTCTAAAGTCTCCTGTAAAATTGAAGCATCATAATTATCTTAGTCATGCCTTGGTGGTTGGGTATCTAGTCTATTTTTTAGTCTATTCTAATAGAGTATTTTCAATATCATTAACTCTACCATGAACAACTATGTGCCTCTAGCTTTTTTTTTTTTTTCCTTTAAATTCTCACAAGAGTAGTTACTGAGTCAGAAGATAGAAGAACTTTTTATGGCTCTTGCTATGAATTACCGAAATACTTTCCAGTGGTGCCAATTATAAAACCCTGTCATTAGCAAATGTATTTTGTAGTTAGAAAAACTAAACTTGTAGAGGAAGAAGTCAGCTACCGATTTAGCTGACTTAAACTTAAGAACAACGGAATTAAATTAGTTGGTTGATAAATTTTATTCCTGACTCTTAAATGACTTCCTAGAATTGGAATTGCTAATATGCAGAATGCTAAGAATTATATGTATGTTGCCAAATTACCCTAATTCACCACCCACCACCCACTGTATTAAAGCTTTTATTTCCCAGTTTGAGAGTAAGAGATCACTTCTCACAGGTGTCCTAAAATAGGTTTATATAATAATAAAAATTATTTTCAGAAATCTACAGTTGAAAACATTCTCCTTTTATACCTTAGGTAGACTGCTTCAGCATGTAAAAAGTTGATTTCTAGCTAATTTTGACCCAGTTTACCCTCATGTTAAGTAATTAATTCCCTGGGTGGCACAAATGGTTTGCTCTCAAGCTATTAACCAAAAGGTTGGAGGTTCAAGTCTACCCAGAGATGCTGTGTCTTCTTCAATAAAATCACAACCATTGAAATCCCTATGGAGTGTAGTTCTACTCTGACATACATGGGATCAGTGTGAGTCAGAGTTGACTTAATAGCAACAGGTAACTAGGTAAGTAGGTTAGTTATTAAGATAGCTGAGACTGTGTCTGAGGCCCTACTTTGGTAATGAGAGTCCATAGGTGGTACAGGTGATTAACTCTCTTGGCTGCTAACTGAAAGATTGGAGCTTCAAGTCCACATATCTCAGAAGAAAAGGCCTGGCAGTCTACTTCTGAATAAACAGCCATTGATATCCCTATGGAAGACAGTTCTACCCCGACACACACAGACACCATGAGTTGGGCTCAACTTGATGGAAACTAATGTTGGTGACTTCGGTAATGGCAGCTTAAAACTCTGAGGAAAAAGTCTTCTTTCATAACAATGTCCTCTGTTTTCTGTTCAACAGGCCACACCTCCAGTGACCATTCCAGGATCAGCAAAGTTCACCCCTAATGGCAGCAGCTTCAGCATTTCCTGGCAGTCTCCTCCAGTTACTTTCACAGGCATTCCAGTGAGTAGGGAAGCAAAACCACTAGAATGCGTGTCAAAGCCAAACATAAATTTAGAGAATTGTAGAAATCTGTGAGAAAAAGAACAAAGTTGGAAAGCCAGAAGTAATATATTTCTTAAGTGACATTTGTAAACTCAACAGCAAGGTCCAGACCCACTGCTGTATGAAAAGGTGTTTAAAGGACTGGTATTTTAAAAAACTAGAGTAGAGTTTCAGCTGCTGATAAACAACTTCTTGGAAAAATATCTAAACTTTCTTTGTATGTTTGTGGTATATTTATATATTACCAAAATGCTTAGAAGCTGAAGTCAGACTCCATACATAAAAGATGGTGTTATCATTATAAATAACTATGCAAAATTCATGGCTTTGAAATTTTTGAAGGTTCAAAAAAAAATAAATAAACTGAACTTTTTTTCTTTTAAAGCCTGAGTGATCCATTCTGATGGATAATTTGAAAATAAGTGAGTACTGAAATACACAAATTTAACTAGTATATAAGAAGAATATGATTTGACATATTAAATGATTGCTCTGATAAATCACCATGCATTTCCTTAATTTCTAACCATTCATTTAAATATATATTGGGTCTTTTATAGCTTATCACAGCATACCCATAGTGATGCCCACAGTGGTGGACAACTCATGATAAGGTACAGAAAGTGGCTTAGGAAAACAGATATTAACCCTACTTCCTCCTTTCCACTCCTTCAAAAGCTTCTTATTATTGTCAGCCACTGGCAGCTCCCAAAAGGTTTCCAGCGAAGACTAAGGCCTCCTATAGAGCTGATAAAAATGAAAGTGGCTGAATCAGTTATGCTGTGTTCTGTCAATGAATATTTATTAAATTCCACAGAGGAATAGCCAACAATAAAAAGCAGCCTGCTGGTAGCAATTTGGGAAACGGTGGCTTCCAGAAGATATTCCTGGAATTTTATTTTCAAACATTCCTGTGTCTCTGGAGTAATTAGGAAAGTCGTCTGTTTCATTGAGTAGTGATAAATACTGGTCGTTCTGAACAAGCAAGGATGCAATGGCTGACTGGCCTTATTAGTTTAGTAGATGAGAAGAAAACAGATTAGGCATGCTTCTGGCAAAAATGCTGCTCTACTGTTCAGGTGTCAAAGGTTAACAATCTGTCCATTGGAGGCTTTTTTTGAGGGGGAAGGATAGATATACAAAGACCCAGTGTTACTTATGAGACAACCTTTCTGGATTAAACTAGAATAGCAGCCAATACAGAATTATAGTTGTTGTTGTTGTTGTTGTTATATGCCATTGAGTAGGACCCAACTCATAGCGACCCCTCCTTGGGTTTCTGAGGCAGTATCACTACATAAGTAGATAACCCAACTTTCCTTCCGAGGGGTGGCTGGTGGGTTTGAACTGCAGCCTTCTGGTTAGCAGTTAAGTGCCTTAGGCACTAAGCTACCAGAGCTCCGAGTATGTTATTTATTGTTATTGTTGTTACGTGCTGTGGAGTCGGGCCCGACTCATAGTGATCCCTCCTTGGGTTTCTGAGGCAGTATCACTATGGAAGTAGATTGCCCCATCTTCCTTCCAAGGAGTGGCTGGTGGGTTTGAACCTCCAGCCTTCTG